TGGACCATGCCGGGTCGGGTCAAGTACATACCAAATATAGTTATGGACTTAGACACTATATCCAACATCCTTGTCATCATCTTAGTCCTTTTCATAGGACTAACAGCAGGACCATCTACTTGATTACCATAATCTGAAACTGAGGGAGGAGCAACATCCCTTCTTGGTATAGCAGACCCAACTGGAGGGAATTGGTCAAAGATAGGTTGGCCTCCCCCATCTTTCCTAGGTCTTCCAATCTTCCTTTTTGGGACAGGGGGCTTAGGTACCTCATCATTTGTGCATGAAATCTTATTATTCCCAAGTTGTTGACACTTTCCACACCTCATAGTCCTAGGAACCTTTAACCTTTGTGAGGGGTATTTGGCATCTTGTGATTCAGATGCATGTTTCACTCTCTTTACTTTGGGTCTTCCAGGCATCCTTCTAACTGGGGGTGGTAATGGGTTAATAAACTCAGTCATTGGCCACAAGTTGCTTCCACCTACAGGTTGTATGTTCTAACTGTATGTTGCAACATATTTGTCCTTGTGGAACCAAGAAGAAAGGAATTGACTTGGATCTTTGTGGACATAGTTGATTGCAGCTTGACTATGCACACATGGTATGCCTGGCAACATCCAAAAGTTGCAGGTGCAAGTATGAGTGGCTAAATCAACCTTGTATCTATTGTAGGCATACCTAACCTCAAACACATCACCACCACTTGGCACCACTATCCACAACCTACACACAAAACAAACAAAGTACACATATAAATACTTAATATTTTTGGATACATGCCCATAAAAACTTATATTACCTCATATATTTCCCAAATTCATCAAGCTTCAGTTGTATGTTAGGCCCACAATTACCCCTCCATTTTGCTACCTCTTGACCTTGATGAAAAAACCTTTTCATAAGGAGAATCCTTATTTCCTCAAGCATTGTGAGTAAAGGCTTCTTCCTTATTTCTTTGATCATGTCATTGAAGAATTCTGCCACCTCATTCTCTACTGCTTCACAAGCATACCCATAAGAAAAGAATGCTTTGCACCAAGTTTCAGGTTTCCTTGCCATAAGATAGTTGTATCCTGTTTCTGTTATCTTCTTTATCTTATCCACTGTAGCAAGAAAGTCCCCTTCCACTGTACTCATAGCAGCTTCCCAAAACAAATTCTTTAGCTCTAATCCTGTGTATTTCTTCCTAAAGTTTGCAAAGATGTGTCTAGCACATTGTCTGTGCTCAACATGGGGGAGTAGGTCTGCCACAACCTGTAGAAGTCCCTATAATTAACAAACAAACACAACACATGTAAATATTAATGAATGTAACATACAAATATATATGGTATACTAGTGTATGTTGTGGTACCTTGTGTTGGTCTGAGATAACAACCAGTCCATTGCCAGCACCAAGATCCAAATCAGCAACCAAATTCTCAATGAACCAGGTCCAGTTGTCCTTATTCTCAACATTCACAACTGCCCATGCTATTGGGTAGACATTGTTGTCTGCATCCCTCCCAATAGCAGTTAAAATCTCCCTCTTAACCTGCCCCTTCAAGAAAGTGCCATCTATTAAGATTTATAATTTTAACTAATACTAATTTAAGATATTTAATTGTAGAAAAATGTCCTATTAAGATTTATAATTTTAACTTTCCAAAAGATCAACATTTGAGAAGCTTCGGTACATCTCTTTATATGTAAAAAATACCAAATGGAGAAAAATACAAACGAACATGGTTGGTCTATTTCATTGATGTAGATAAAGTTTTTTGCTTTTGTTGTAAATTATTGTGGTTGGTCTATTCCATAGATGTAGGTAGAGTTTTTTTTTGTTTTTGTTGTAAATTATCTAATGTGAATAATATATCTACACGTTCATTAGCAATAAAGGTAACAATGATTGAAACAATATTTATAGTATACTAAAAAGATATGAAACAAGTAATTAACATATTCTTAATATGAGAGCATTGATTGACTTACAAACTAGATTAATAAATAATAAAACAATTGACAAGCAAACCCAAAAACAGATAAATAAAGAAAAAAACATTGGGAAAATATGTTAATGAATTAAATATACATTTATTACATTTAAATATTATATAAATTTAATAAAATGAAAAAAAAAACATAAAATAACACATTGATATAATTTAATTTAAATTTACCAAAATAACATGTGACATAAAGTGGTAAAATTATTTTCATTTAGTAAGGAGAATCCCTACTTCGACGGCTTTGACTATGAGAAAAGTAAATATTGCGATCTCGTCTTGTCATTCTTGTAACGATGGGATGGATGAATCTTACCACATACTTGTCAATTGTCCGATCGCCAGAGGTGTGTTGGGTTGGATCCTGAATTGGTGTCAAATTTCTGATCAACAATTCAATTTGGTGGCTGAGTTGGTGGGTTTTGCTGCACAATGGGGGAGGTGTCCTAAGAAAAGAAAGATTTTCATTGCTATCATTTACCGATTTCTTTGGTGCGGTTGGAAAGCTAGGAATGCTAAAGTCTTCGATAAGGTTAGGACGTCTTCGTTTAATTTGGTGGATAGTATAATCACCTTGGTGTTCAATTGGGTAAAATATAGAGGCAAGTTTGATGATTGTAATTGGTATGTTTGGAATTGTAATCCTTTTGACATTTTGTAATTTGTTTTTCTGCCCAGCCTTGTTTCTTTAAAGGAAGCCTTGTTTCTTTAAAGGCTGGTGCTAATATATTTCCGCCGTTTCAAAAAAAAAAAAAAAATTAAAGTCAAACGTTTAATTTGGTGTGTCTAGTAGTTATTAAAGATCCACTGAAACTAAAGGCCGTTGCTTATAAATAAATAATAATCTCCTTAATTCGGAGGAGTACGTTAAACTAAATTTAAAAAGATACTAACTAACCCTATTTAAACTAATTAATTAATTTATAATCATCTGGTACATCACAAGCCCTATATTCGGGTTAGAAAGACGACGACGATGGATTATCTTTAGGTGAACAAAGAGGAAACAACGCCAACAATTCGGGTTCGGATCCTCTCGGCGTACTAAGCGGGCTCGGGTGCAAGTAAAACCCTTTCTCTGCAATGGCTCTTTCTTCTTCCTCCCCTGGTGTTCGTGGGCTCCCTCTTCCGTACACGTCCAACGTCGAAACCGGTGACGACATCATCATCTCGCCGACGGTGAAGCTCCTTTGTCTTGACGACGGAGACATGATACCAAAAGGTCGGAAACCGTCGTTGAGAGTGATCTCGAGTTTTCCAGTGTTTTGTCTTCGTTCATGGAGCTTGAATCCGGATCTCCGAGGGGGGACTTCGCCGATAGGTCGCGGAGGGAAGAAAGGTTCTTGTGGGATGGCGCCGGTGAGTCGTTGAACGACGGCGCGAAAGTTGGAAGGGTCGGCTTGGACGAAGGTTGTGGCGGGGCCGGAGTTGGAATCAGAAGCCATGAGAGAGATTGAAGTAGTTGCAATGGCGGTGTTGAATTTATATATGACGAGGTGGGCCTACTTGAATTACACCATGGGAGGGGCATCGAGTAGTGTAAAGTGTCAGGTGGCACGAAGGAGAGGGAAAATTCAAATACCAACAATTTATTGCGATTACAATGTCCTTCAGTTAATACCATAATGTTCTCTATGCTATTTAAGAACGGAAATTAGACAACACTGTGTATAACACAAGAATTAAAAGACAAATTGTACTATTATTTAATGATCTTCATATATATATATATATATAAAATTATATTTTCGACAAGGACAATTTTGTTTATCATGAACGAACCAAATTTCTAGCATTAAATCAAAAAAATGTAATGAACACTTACGGGGACTTAAATATGGAACTTGAGTTTGTGGGTTGTTTGTCATGGCATTAGGGATCGAATGTTGGGATTTTTCTAGCAGGATGGATTACTAATGTAGTTACTAACAAGTTAAAATCTAATGGGACCGGCTGTTGCAGAGCTTAGAAAACGGATTATAAAAACTTACATTGTTAAGGTACCAATGTACCATATCTAAAAGTCTTTGGTGGGAAAAGAGCACATATGTATGGTAAGTTTTAGAGAAAAACTACTAAATAGGAACCAATGTTGTCGAAAATGACTTTGATATAGTTGGCGACAAGAAACGTCTCAAAAAATTTTCTTTTGTTTTGTTATTTCTCTAGCAACTTGTTCTAGAGGGTTTCTTCTTGTCGTCCTTATATTGGTCATGATGCTTATCATTTAAAAGAAAAGTTCAATTGTGTAGTAGCCGTCACAACTGGTATTAACAATAACAATTCCATCTTTTCAATAGTCTATTGTGTGTTTGAATCAGAGAATACACAATCATGGACATGGTTTCTCGAGTCACTTAAAAAAAACAATTGGGACACTAGATGGTCTTGTTATCTATGCGAAAAGGATTAGAATAGCCATGATGCAGGTTTATCCTAATATTAAGCATAAAGAATGTATATGACACTTATATAGCAACTTCAAAAAACAATTTTGCAATGAATTTTTCAACAAGAAACCATGAGGTGCTGAAAAACCTACCATCCTAATGAGCATGACATATTATTAGTGGACTTATGGATGTAAGTGAAGATGTTAATTACATAAATAAATAACAACCATAAAAACCATGGAATAGAAGCAAGTTTGATACATCTTCCAAGTGTGATTCCAACGCTAATAATATTTCAAAAACATTTTACTTTTTGGACATATGCATTGCATTATCATCATGTGCTTGATCTCCTTGTTGTAATTAGAGAAAAGATTACGAAACTGTTTGATAAAAAAACAATGTTGGTGAAAAATGGAACGACGTACTGATTCATATTGCTAAGAATCGTCTCAATAACATCTCTAAGGTAAGTATGTTATATTATATTTCAATTACATATGTATATTTATTTTAAACTTGGATGATACATGTATGTCTCAACAATTTTTTTTACATGTATAGCTTGAGTGAATATGAAGCTTATAGAAGCTATGACAAATAAAAATATAATTAAACCATCAAATGAGTATAATAAAGGGCACAAATATGTGTGATATGGTGAGTATGGACTCGTAAAAATTCATGCAATAATCCTTCGTCTCAAGGTTTTTATCCAAATGAAATATTCATGTCTAAAAGGTTAACCAATTTCAATTTACTTTGTTTTATTTCATAAATAGATATCAATACGTATACAATGATAATAATATTTTTATTTACTCTAAGACACTTGTAAAGAATACAAAATCTCGTAGTAGCTTAGGAGTGTCGGGGTCTATGAGAAAAGGTCGTGAAATACAAATGTATGTTGGATGTTTTATTGTATGGTTTTCCTTATTAATGAATACATACGCTTTGGTTAATCTATTAATCTTCGAAATACAATATCAGTTGAATGTGTTTTGTATTGTTTTCTTTATTAATGAATACACACTTTGGTTTGGTTTTTTTATTAAAAGAAGTGGGTTCAAGAAAAAAAAACATACATAAAATGTTCATAACAATGTTTAGTTATATTCAAATTTGTTAGAATAAAAGCATTTTCTGCACATAAAATTAAAAAAATTTGGTTCAATTACCATGTGGTGTAACATTGAGAATAAAGAAAGATTTTGAACTTGACTTCTTTCAGTATTCAATGATGAAAATAGTATGACGAAAGTGCAAAATTGTTTCAATAGGAATTAATTATTTAATTTTGCATTTTTTTAACTTACTAATTTTGATTAAAATAATTATTTGGATAAATATGATATTTTGAAAATTATGAATGGATTTGATTAGAATCATTAGGTGGATAAATATGATATTTTGAAAGTTATGAATAATATAAATGATATTTTAAAATAAATATATAAGAGAAATATAATAGTTGTTATAAAAGAATAAGAATTTTAAATGATAATAAAATATGAAAAATATTAAAAATAAGGATTTGAGAAATACAATATCTTAACAGTTTATAAATAATGAATATTATATTTAAAAATTAAATTGAAGAGTTATTGCCATATATAAAAAATTTCCTTATTTATATATAACATTTTTTCCTTCACTATTTGCTTTCCTCCATTTTATATCTTTTTAACCAATTGTTCGTCTCGTCTCGTCCATAAACCTAAACTGTTCATTTTTTATTATGTTATATTCCAAATTAGTCTAATAAATATATGTATATAAAAAACAATATGACACCTTGCATCAAAAAATCTTCTTTTCATTCAAAAAATTATTATGTTTAACTTTAAAATGTATTCAAATAAAATATGAGTATATGACATTATAAACTGAAAAACTACATACCAAATATATGTTTTAAAAAATAAATAAGAGAAAAATCACCTGTCAACTAACCCCGACAATACCAATAAAACTCATTCTAAAACTGGGTTGTAAGTTGTAATTGAGATAACAAGATGGATATGTCAGATTGGTTACTTAACGAGTTTATATCTATTTTCAATAGACGTGACAAACTCGGATATATTGAATTATTGATGGGCCACTATTTGTTTATATCTATTGTGGAATTCTAAATATAAACCAAAATATTAAACATGATTAAAAATATAAATTATACAATATTTAAAAAATATTATATTACCTTCCAGTAAAAATGTCTAAGTAATAAAATGCACTTTGATAAAAAAAAATATACATATATATGGAATTGTTTGTTAATAAATAAATCAAAATTGAAAATCCTGACACGTGAGTTTTCATTAATAGTTGTTGTAGGGAAGTAAATGTTAAAAGGATGGGAAGTGTGAGAGGTGAATCCAGTGAAGGAGTGTGAGGTCAGATCAAACCAGTTGAGGAAGAGTCAAGTCAAGTCACGTACGTCAGTCGGTATTGGTGGCTGCCTGGCCGCTACATGCCATACGGATATTATATTGCCTCTCCGTCCTTGCTTGCATTCTACTTACCAAAGATACCCGAGCGTTGGGTAATGTCCATTAACATAATTTAACAAACACAACAAAAGTTTCATCTTGCTACAATTGTTTGCAGTAAAACAAGTTTGATGGAGAAGATGACAAACTGGTTTCGTTAAACCGGTCCATTGATGTTTTATGATGAAATGTGGGACATCAACCCAAAGGTAAAAAGACTATATTCATAAATGAAACTGAGCCTACATATGAAATACTGTTTCCATAATTGATACCAGCCTAGATTGTTTTCATAATTATATCCGCTATTACTGTTTTAATTATTCATACCATTTGGTTATGTATTCGAAAAAAAATCAAAATTTTGATGTCTAACCTTACATTATTTTTCCATTTAGACATTTCTCTTCTCACAAGTCACACCATCCACCAAGTGATACCTTAATAAAAGAATATATATTATTTTTTACAAAAAGATAGTAAAAAAATATCAATAAATCTAAAATATTTTAAAAAGAGTATCCTTAAGACATTATTAACAAAGGATATTGAACACCTTTAAATAAATATTAAATGTTTTAGCATTATATTAAGATATTAATTTATCGAGAGAATTTTGTATATACCCATGTTCAACTTTAATATATTATATTTGTTAAGCCTTAAATTTAAATAGAGAAATTAAACATCCTTATATTTTTTTCTTCTATCGTCTTCGTAAATATTTAATATTATGATACTTGTCATATTTAATAAAATTTTATTACATTTATCATCATCTAAAAGTGATAGGATGATAGGTAGGAAAAATAAGTTTAAAAATATCTATGTGTCCAAATTATTTTTTTAAACATATCTTAAAATCTTTTAATTAGGCTTCATATTTTACAATCGTTTTAATTTATATAAAAGAAAAGCAAGTTGACCAAATTTCCATTAAAGATCAAAAACCCTTTTAACATAAATTGGATATACCATACTGCCCCTAATGTGATCACACGTCCCGTGGAAAGGTCCAACTCGCTCCACTGGTTCTTTCCAGTTTAACAATAGGAAAACACAGAACCAAGACTCCACACTCTACTGCTCGTTGTCACCCTTTAATGCTTAAACAAGTTTCCCCAAGTAGTTCTTTTAGGAAGATATCGCATGTGTCCGATGGTTCGCTTGATGATCATTTTATTCGCTTATTCTTATATCATGTACCTATGCGGACACCTAATATGGGGGCACACACACAAACTCATTTCCTCACAAATTTGTGACTGACAAACATAAGGTCAAAGAGAAGGGTAAAAATGTGATTATGAAAGGATCCTAAAACTAATCACATTTATTATCTTTCTTCTCAAAACCTATACTCGTTTTGTGTGCTTTTCATATCAGTATTAACAAGTAGTAAGAAACTTCTTAAAGATAAGTTTACCATCGATACATTATGTGACATTCCCTATTTCTCAGAACCAGTTAAAAAATTTTCTTTACACTTTAAAATATCACGTGTCTTTGTTGTGAAAAATCTCAGTTTAATAAAATATTTTTGAGACAAAAAGATTG